AGGCTCACACACGTGTCACAGGGGTATACACACACGTGTCACTGGGGTGTGCAGGTCTACCTGCTGCTGATGGAGAGAACTGGCTCATTTCCAGCCACTGTAATGAGTGTTTAAGGACTGCTTTAAGTTCCTCTTTCCAGCTGGGCAGTGGTGGCATACACCTTTACTCCCAGAATTTGGGAGTCAGCAGCAGGTGGATCTCTGCAAGTTCAAGGCCAGCCTGGTCTACAGGGTGAGTTCCAGGATAGCCAGAACTACACAGAAAAAACGTCTTAACTGGACCGATAGCCTCCAAAACAATACAGAGAAACCCTGTCTCATAAAAACCAAAAAAAAAAAAAAAAAAAAAAAAAAAAGAAAAGAAAAATTGTCTTAAGAAAACAAAAACAAAAACCTGGTTCATCAACAAACTCCACTGAGCATGTTCTAAAAGCTACCAATCAATGACAGTACTAGTTTCTAAAGTAGCCACCTAGGAACTAATTCTTCCCAAGAATCACACAGTGAGAGACAACCAGACACTCTCATCATCAAACTTCCATGAACGACACTCAGCTGCTTGGGCTCTTGCATGTCCCCAGGTTTCTGATGGCACGATTTTCTAGCACTGTAAGCCAGACAGATCCCTGTCTCTGCTTGGTCACCCTGTGGCTTCCCTACAGTAAAAAGTAAAGTGTCCTCTTAGCTCCAATTCTGGGTGACTGCTTCATCATCCTCTGACACCTGTCTGCTTTATGTTTGCTTCTCCACACAGCCCAGAGGCCCTGAACTCTGACCTCCTCTGTCTTAGCTTTCCAAGGTCAGGATCACAGGCGAGTCCCACCACACCCAGCTGCTCTCCTGCTTTATAACAATCCGCTTTGGCACAGCTGGGATCTTTTTGTGTGACTTCCCTCTAAGTTTAAATATGAAATTCCAGCTGCACCCAGAGTACAGACAAAAGGCCCGAGGCAGAACATCTGGGGACAGCTGGCTCAACTTCTCTCTGGTTCTGCTTTGTTTTCATGGGGCCTGATAAGATTGAGGGGGGCCCTTTCCCGTGCCTCCCTAACGCAGGACTCAGTCTGTGGGAACCCAGGCACACCCACCTAAGGCACTATTGAGAAGCATGCCCTGAGGAAAACACCTGGATGCTAAGGTCTTCACCTTAGCTCTCAGAACAGCAGCATGGTGCCAGAGAAGTACCACAGGTCCAGAAACGCAATGCGACACTCCTAAAAGGAGATCTCAACAATTCACTGGCTTTCTGTCAGCTGTAGACTAGGACTACAGTTCCTAGTGTCACAACATTCCCTTTCTCTTCAGAGGGCCTCTCAATCCCAGCTAACAGACACAGGAACAGCCACATGGAAAGAATAAAGTGGCCAGGTGTGGTCCACACACCTGTCACACCAAAACCAGCAGGTGCAGGCAAGAGGGTCAGGAGTTCAAGGCCAACCTCAGCTACCAGCCAAGTTCAAGGAGAGCCTGGTCTATGCAAGACTCTATCTTAAAAACAAACAAACAAACAAACAAACCAAAAAACAAGGGAGGAGAAGAGCTCTTCCCAAGAGAGATCTGACAGATTTCAACCCCAAGGAACAAGCAGCTACAGTGGGAGCAAAGCCAAGAGGGCTGACACGGCCACCTGGCTGCTGGGCTCTCTCCTGTAAGGCCAGCTAGAGTACAGGCTATGGGCCATCGCTTAATAGGAGGCTATGTGTCAGCCACCCAACTATTACAGCTTCCAGGCGAGGCGGATGAGGTGTGCACACTCTGTGCATACGATGGCGAGGCTCCCCAGAATTAACGACTCCCAGGGACGGGGCTAATTAACTTGCTTTGTGGGTGGCTGCCCTGGGGTTCAGTGCTGAGGGACGGGCTCCTGCTTCATGATTTAGAGGCGGCTCTCCATGGAACGCAGTGGCGTTTCGGAATGCTGGGAGGGACCCCATGCTAGTCCCGTGGGCCCTGACCTCTACTGCTACTCGGTGTGACTTGTCACTCCAGTACTCTGTGGCTTCTGACTGACATAGGGAGATCTGAGAGCTAAGAACTGCCACCTTTCCTAAGGATGGCGAGGAGGCCGCTGTCCATGTTACTACATTCCACTACAGCTCAGTCTGTCCCACCAGTGTTGTGGGCATGCTCACATTAAATTACATGTTTCAACAATCACAACCTTTTATTACTTGTAAAAAATCAAGTTATTAGCCAACATCCTGATATTAAGTCCTATTATGAAGGGGATTCATCTGGTTGTGTAAAGTGGATACAGGATTTGTAGAGAATAATATCTTATTTAGAATATGAATCTTTTGGGAAATAAAAGATGGCATAATTTGTATGTAACTATAATATCCAAATCAAGAATGTAGTAATAACAAAATTCAAGGCAATTTGTCTTTTAAATTTTGTTAATGAGAAGCCTATACATGTTGCTAAGACAAATATATTTGCTGATAATAACTCATTTCTTACCAGCTACAGCATATACCCTTTTACCACTGCTTCGTAGCAAAGAACCAATCTCCCATAACACTAGACTTCAGTGCTCGGTGTGTGAAAGCAGTGTAGTGCTCAACACAGCAGACACTCCACAGGCCAGCTCCCTTCCTCTGTCCTGGACTGCTCTCTATCCACCTTTCCTAGCCTCAGCCGCCACATCAAGTTCCCCGGAAGGCCAAATTCAAACTCCACCCCAGGCATTATCTTATTCTGCCTCTGAAGGAGTCAGGGATCCCCACTGGAGGAGGCACCAAAGCTATGAAGCTAAAACCAGAAGCCAGAGGTGAGACGGTGGGTCTACAGGGAGACACCCAAGTCAAAACGACAGAATGACTGACGCCAAGGAAAACAGTGCTCAAGTCAAAACGACAGAGTGACTGACGCCAAGGAAAACAGTGCTCAAAGAATGCAGCCAGAGCAAACCATCCGCCTTACAATAAAGACGTTCAAACAGGCTTAGCTGAATTCTGATAACTCATATTTTATATACGGGACATTATAATGGCTCCAAAGTTCTCACTTGTTTCTTTTTTTAGTCAAAGTCATAAACTTGGAAGATTAGGTACGTTACTTTAAAACTTACAAATAATGACAAAAAGTGAATAAAATATTTCAAAGTGATGGTCTCTGAGAGATAGAGGAAAGTAGAACTTAGGTACTATTTAATTTTTAAAATGTGTACATTTATTATAGTGGCATGCCTTTAGATGTTGTTTGTTGGCATGTATTAATTATACATAATAACGGTTACAGTATGATACTTTCACACACAGACACAATGTACTTTGATATGCACACAGACTTCCCATCCATTACCCTCGCTCGTCCGGCCCTACTCCTTCCTTTCCCCAGCCAGGGCCCCTCCTGCTTTCATCTTGCCCGTGAGTGCGTGTGTGAGTGTGCATATAAGTGTGCATGCATGTGAGTGTGTAAGTATTGTGTGAATGTGTGCAAGTGTGAATGTGTGTGCATGCATGAGAGTGTATGAGTATGTATGTGAGTGTATGAATGTGCCTGTGTGTATATGCATGAGTGTGCATGTGTGTGTTGGTGTGTCTGTGAGAACATATGTGAGTGTATGAGTGTGCCTGTGCGTGTGTGAGTATGTGTGTTGGTGTGTCTGTGAGAACTAATGAGTTTCATTAGAATTGTTTGCAAGAACACAGGAAAGGGTTTGTTCACATAAAAGAAAATTTCTTTTTATTGTTTTGTTGGTTGGTTTGTTTGTTTGTTTGTTTGTTTGTTTGAGATAGGGTTTCTCTGTGGAGCTTTGTAGACCAGGCTGGCCTCAAACTCACAGAGATCTGCCTGTTTCTGTCTCCCAAGTGCTGGGATTAAAGGTGTCTGCCACCACCAACCACCCAGCCCAAAAGAAATAAAAAGCCTTCTACACAACACATAACAAGGAGTTGAAATCTCAAAAGGCAACGGATGACAACACAGAACTTTAGAAAACACAGTTTGATGCAAGTCTAGAGACCATAAGGAATCCATGAAGTGCTAAACATGGAGATCACTACTGTAGCCCAGTACTCATAGGCCACGGCCAGCGGCGCACTGTTTGAGGCCAGCCTGCATTACATATGAAGGGAAAAAGGAAAACTCATTACAAAATAACATTTAAAGAAGTTTTCCCCAGAATTGAAGAACATGGACTTTTGAACTGATGGAGTCAAATAGAAGAGACAAAATATGCCACAGCAGAGCACATGAGCACATAATTTAAAACTACCGGCATGCGACAAGAAAAGAGGCAGTAAGTAAAAAGCAGCTCACGAAGCAAGAGTCACACTGTGAGGAAAGACTGCTCAGGGGAAGGTGCCTGCCCGCAAGTATGAGGATCTGGGTTTGCACCTGCAGGATCCACATGAAGCCAGCTGCAGACAAGCACATCTGGAACCCAGCACCCCCACAGCAGACAGGAGGCAGAGACTGGGGAGCCTAGAAGCTCTGCAGACAGTTAGCTGCAGCAACAAGACAAACAGAGCAGAAGGCAAGTACTGACACCCACGGTGTCCTCTGACGGCCACACACTCGTAACACACATGACATGTACCTGCACTCATTCACACAAACACGTGTGAACACAAGCAGACAAAAACACAAGTTCACACAACAGATCGATGGTACCTATTCTCCCCGGCAATGCGAACAGCTAGAAGGCAGTAAACACACCTTCAAAATTCCAAGAGAAAAGTATCAGTCAACCTATTAATACGAAAAGTAGGGTAAGACACTAGGCAGAGCCCAGAAACGTGCTTCCTTTCCCTGCTTCAAGAATCTACTGGAAGATATGTCAAAGAGAGCAGGATAATCAACAAAGAATGCCGGGAAACCCAGGCAATCCAAAGGTTCTTTGAACAGAAGTGGCAGAGCTTACTGGTTTCAGATCAAGTCCATGCAAAGGCCTCAGCTGACTTCTGAAACGGTGGCTATGCTGCGTACCGCAGAAGTCCACTGTGACAGTTTCCCAGCAATCTGAGCAGAAGAGGTTTTCCGTTTGTCCCTCTCACCTGTAGCACAGCAGCAAGTAGATACACAGCGACGAAGACTACAGTCAGAGAGGTGTGGCCGCTCTTCATCAGGTGGATGGTGTAGAGGAAGGTCAGGTGGCCCGGAACCACTAAGAGCAGGAGGACTTGGGCCGACTTGTTGTTCACTCCTGTGACGCGAAACACAGTGGCATCAAAAGTCACGCTTGAAGGTTACAGCTGGGGCATGGCTCAGCGGAAGGTCAGCTGGGGGTGGCGGTCTGTCTGGCACTCACAAGGTGGGAAAACAAATGGAACCTATGCAGTGGGCATGGTGGTCCACGTCACCGAGTCGGAGGACAACCCCGGATGCCTGTAGCCCCAGCACTATGGAAGCTGGGGCAGCAGCACCCCAGCCAGCCAGTGAGACTGCATCTAAGAAAACTAAAACAGCAAACTGAGGGTAACTTTCTCCTTACTACAGCTCAGAGTGTTTTCATCAACTCAACTGCTAAGAATAAAGTTCGGTTACTTATAATTCACTTAATTCCTGGGAATTCCCCCTAGTAGGTGTAATTGTAAAAATCAAGTTTAAAAAAAATGGCTGTTTAGCTGGGCGTTGGTGGCACAAGCCTTTAATCCCAGCACTTGGGAGGCAGAGGCAGGCGGATCTCTGTGAGTTAGAGACCAGCCTGGTCTACAGAGTGAGTTCCAGGACAGGCTCCAAAACAAATACAGAGAAACCCTGTCTCGAAAAACCAAAAAAAAAAAAAAAAAAAAAAAAAAAAAAAGACTGTTTAAAAACTATCTTGAGACGGGTGGTGGTGGCACTCACCTTTAATCCCAGCACTCAGGAGGCAAAGGCAGGCCTGGTCTACAGAGTGAGTTCCAGGACAGCCAGGACTACACACAGAAAGCCTGTCTCAGGGAAACAAAACAAAACAAACCTTGTTTTGAAGAACACTACTGTCATAAATACAGGGGGGAAATGGAATGTCAATTTTGTGTCTTCTCTTATTGTTCGATCACTGATATTAGAAGGAGGCGCCTGAGATGCTCAGTGGTTAAGAGCACTGACTGCTCTTCCAGAGGACCAAGGTCCCCAGGACTCAGGTGATGACTCACAACCTTCTAGACCTCCTGATGTCCTCCCGCAGTCTCCAGGCGCACCAGGAGTACAAGGGGCGCTCAGACACACTTGAAGTAACAAAATAATGATCTCAGATTTTCGGCACTCACATATCCATTCGTTTAAGTAATACATTGTTCCTTGCCACTGGGTTGTCTCCTAATGTCCTGTTTCAGAGCAAACACCCACATCTTTTTTGGTTTTTACGAGACAGGGTTTCTCTGTATTGTTTTGGAGGCTATTGGTCCAGCCCAGCCTCGAACTCACAGAGATCCGCCTGCCTCTGCCTCCCGAGTGCTGGGATTAAAGGCGTGCGCCACCACCACCCGGCACAAACACCCACATCTTAAAGAGCCAAAAAACAGTAATTCCGGAAGAAAAGTCCACTGTCCCTAAGTTACAGGTGCTTTATGGTTCTTCTTTCTTTCTTTTCTTAGTTTTTCTTTTTTTCCTTGTTTTTAAGACAGGGTTTCTCTGTGTAGCCCTGGCTATCCTGGAACTGGCTCTACAGACTAGGTTGGCCTTGAACTCAGAGATCACCTGCCTTTGCCTCCCAAGTGCTGGAGAGAAAGTCAGCTGTTAAAGGCTAGACTCACAACCAACAGAGACAGGAATAGGAAGTGCAAACGTCACGATAGCACACACAGACTTAGGGACACAGAAGGTCTTTGTTCCCTGAGATTAGCTCAGCACAACATTCACAAAATATTGATCCAACAAATTTTACCTACCCAGACCTCAGCAGGGAGCAGTTCCAGGCAAAACCCCCACACACTTACCTGAACCAAAGAACGTCCTAAACGGGTAGGAACAGCCTTTGGGCTCATCGGGCAGTTCTCCAGGGATACTATGCAAATGGAGGTAGGTAGAGATCCTGCTGGCCTGAATGGCCACCAAATTGCCACCGATACCTGAGACGTTGGGAAACAGCCAGGTTACCTTTCACTTAAACAACGCCATCAATCCCACCACAGCAAGTCTCTTCCCGTCACATTCTCAGTCAGTGAGACAAACTTTTCCTGAAAGGCTGGTTTCTTTAATGTTCAAAGAGATAACCCAAATATCATTATTACAAAAAACACCTTCATTATTTTCAAACCTGATTAGCTGTCTGATGTGACAGCAGACTGGAATGGGTAATTTTTAAAAATCATTCTTGCAATCACTTCACGAAACTAGTTTACATGATACTGATGTTTGTCACCTTAATGAGAGAAAAATAAGCTGGATTTATTCAAATTGACAGGTGTGATACTTTCTCAGCATACTCAAGAAAGTGAATTAGGAGCTGAATAAAATTACTCAGCAAAGTCTCGTTTTCAACCTACAAACAGCCTCTCCGTGACTGAGAGGCAGTAGAGTTAATGCCGGGGTAGGAAATGAATTCCAAGGTGACAAGGACACTCAAATTCTTTCTCCACTTGCAGTCAGTGAGGAAGAGACAACAGCCCTGAGAGTGAGAAGAGAGCAAATGCAATTTCCAATTCTGACACCCGACCTTCTGAGACAGACCAAGGGAGGGTCTGAGAATGAAGAGCCAACCTCACGGGACCATCTCAACCACTACAGACCCGGGCCACACCAGTCCTCTCAGATAAAGGCAGGCTGCCTGTGAGTGGGAGGAAGGGATCCACGGCCTGTCCCAGGCAGAGCACTGTTGCCACAGGAGGAAGAGACGAGCAGCAGCTGCTGGAGGCTCTTCTGCTCAAGACCAACCTGGAGGTTTGACTGCCGGCCGACAGAGGAGGAGAGAGAAAGACACTGAGTACGCCTCACCGCTCAGGACCAGGCGTAGGGACTGGAGATGAGGTAAGGTAAGAGAACCCTAGCCTGTAGCAGTAAGAGAGAAAGCATCAGCATGTTGCCACAGAGGAAGGGCAAGAACAGAGACGGGTAGTCGCTCCACGCCGTCCACACGCAGCCACACAGAGAACAGGGTAGCAGGGTCCACTGATGAAGAAAAACGAGGCAAGGATTCTGTCCTAACCTCACCCAACAAACACAACTAATATTTACCTCGGTTCCCAGTGGTCTTTTACGTGCAATGCCAAGCATTTAATAAAACTACAGGGTCTTGAAATAATAATTGTTCTTGTTCTCTATTACTTGCAGTTTGAGACAGGGTCCTTTGTAGTTCAGGCTGGCCCTGAGCTTGCTATGACCTTGAACTCCTGGTCTACCTCCCAAATGCTGGCATTACAGGCATCAGCTACTATACCCAGATCCAGGTACTGACATTATTTGACAAGGATTCTAAAATAACTATGGTTGACACATTAAAGACTCCATCAGGGAAAGTGTATAACACACAATAAAAGATGAAACACAGATGAGTTAAAATACGAAACAAACATATGCTGGACACACATAACGCTAAAGAAAACCGAAGGAGCAGGGCCAGTGTCCAGGGAAGCATGACATCCTTTCACCCCCAGCATTACCAGGCACACCAAGATCCCAAGGCTGGCTGTTCACAGACACTACAGGCTACAGAACAAGTCTCTGAGTTCGAAATGACTAAAACATCTGAAGGGTGCCCTCCGGGCACAGGAAAAGGACATCTGCGTTGTCCCTGCCCAAATATTTCAAAAGTAAACAGTATACTTCTAAACCTACAGGTAAAAGAAGAGATCACAAGAGAATGGAAAAACAGTCAATTTAATAAAAGTAGAACATGCTGGGCGTTGGTGACACACACCTTTAATCCCAGCACGCAGGAGCCAGAGGCAGGCGGATCTCTGTGAGTTCGAGGCCAGCCTGGTCTACAGAGCGAGTTCCAGGACAGCCTCTAGAGATACACAGAGAAACCCTGTCTGAAAAACAAAACAAAACCCTGAACTACATGGGAGGCACACAGAGAAATCCTTTGAAATTAGGAAACTGCTTCTACTTATACAGAAGAAACGTTTGCTATCAGTGATGTCGAGTTCCTGTCCTTAAAACTGTAAAAGTTGTACTGAAACAGGACGCGGAAGAGCACAACTGACTGAGAGAAAACACAACAAGGAAGCAGCCCATAACTGAGTCTCTGAACGAATGAACAAAAGAGAGGAGACCCACGGTCCAACACCCAGAACGAAAGCGAGAAGAGCAGGGGCTCGTGCCTCTAATCCCAGTGCAGAGACAGAGGGAGCTTGGGACACACCGAGTCCTGTGCCAGCCTACGCAGCTACAGGCTAAGAGGAGGCTCTCAAGAGTGCACACTGTTCTTGCAGGGGCCCCACAGGTCCACAAGCTCGGATAGGTGGAGCTCCAGGGGATCAGTGTCTACACTGCACCCCTGTGGACAACTGCCCCAGATACACATAGCTATACATTAGAAAATAATGCAGTCCAATATATGAACACAGGGCAATGAACAGAATTCACCACCATTCTAGTGAACAGAAATATCTAGTGAACAGGAATATCATTAATAACTTCCATTCTGAACTATTAGCAAATCAAATCCAGCAAAACACTCAATGTGTGATACATCACAACCAAATTGGGCTTATCCAAGGAATGAAAGACCAATTTAACATCTGAAAGGAAATTAATATATAGTTCATTAACAAGTAAATGGAGGAGGAATGTAACATGATTATAAGAATACATGGGGGAAAACCCACTACAACTCCATAGTCATGACTAAAAGCTCTAACCCAATACACATCCAAGCTGGGTGTGTACTGCAGGGTGGGGCACGAAGATGACTTCTAGCTGTGTGAGGCAACAGTGAAATCTGGTCCTGACTCTCACACAAAACACAAAACCCACTTCCAGGTGAATTAAGAACAAAACAAAGCGCAGCAGGCTGGTGAGGCAGCGAGTGTTGAGAATCAGCTCGACCGGATTCAGGACACGCGGTAAAAGATCATTCCTGGGTGACTGGGGGTTGTTTCTGCATGAAATAAGCACAGGAGATGGAAGATGGAGGGAAAGAATCATTCTTGGCAGATGGAGTCCATCCAATTATCTGGCACCTGGCCAGAAGGAAAAGGACCTTTCTCCTGGAGTTGGGGCACCCTCCTGTCAGAAAACTCTGGGCTCTGAAGCCTTCTGCCTTACACCAACAGCTCTGCACCACTTGCTTCCCTGGTTCTGAGGCTCACTAGAACTGGCCTCCATAATTGATGGGCCAGTTTCTCTAATGTTGTGATAATCTTTTTGTACATTGTGAAGATGTGTCTCTGCTAAGGCACCTTCTGATTGGTTTAATAAAGAGCTGAATGGCCAATCGCTAGGCAGGAAAGGTAGGCGGGACTTCTGACTGGGGGGGTGACTCTGGGAGGAATCTGGGGCATGGAGCAAGTCAGACATGTGGTACTGAGAAGAGGAAACAAGCCATGTGGCACAGCATAGATGAATATAAACAGGTTAATTTAAGTTATAAGAGCTAGTTGGGAACAAGCCTAAGCTAAAGCCAAGTTTTCCCACTTATTAAGAAGTCTCGTTATTTGAGAGCTGGTGATCCAAAGAAAGTCTGATCCCCCCTCATTCACTCTCTCTCTCTCTCCTCCTCTCCCTCCCACACTCTCATTCACTCTCACTCTCTCCTCCTCTCCCCCGCCTTTCTCTTAATCCCCTCCCACTCCCACTGTTTGGAGAATACTGACTAGTATATGTGGAAATTCTTTAACAACTGTAAAACACAAAGGGCAAGTTTATAAAATTTAAAACTTTAGCTCACCAGAAAACACTTTAGGCAAAGAGGGAGAACAAGCCACCAAGTGGAGAAACCCTGCAACACGAGCAACTTTCAACAGAAAAAAAGACAAGGGACTTAGCAGACAGCTCACCAAAGAGGTTAACCCAGGAGCTAGAGAGAGGGCTCAGCAGGTAAGAGAGCTTGCCACACAAACTTAAGGACTTGAGTTCTAATCCCGGCATCCGTGTAAGCACTGGGCATATCCAGTCACCACATGCTGTAGGAACTTGGTGACAGGAAGTTCACTGGGGCTTACTGGCCACCTGCAAAGCTCCAGTTTCAGTGAGAGACGCCATCTCAAAGGGACAAGTGAACAGTGATGCCTGACATTCTCCTGTGGTCTTTGCACACACATGTGGACATCATCACTACACACATATACACATACTTTCACACACATGCACAAAGTTAGCTGAAACTGCTAGTAAACAGAAGAGACCCAAGCTCATTGGGTATCAAAGAAATACAAAACAGAAGCAAAGTAAGCGCTTCACATCCAGCACGACAGGCAGAAAACATGAAATCCTGGCACATGAACAGATGATAATAACATGGAGTTCAACATCCTGACACAAAGCTATCAGGTGTGTAAACTTGGGTTGGAAGTGTAGCTCAGTGGTAGAGAACTCAGAGCAGAGGACCTCAGATCCCCAATACACACACACACACACACACACACACACACACACACACACACACACACTGGAACTATGTAATAAAGGGATGTGCATGCCCTGCCCTACATCTGAGCCATTTCACTCTTCCAGACTTAAGAAAGGGGGAGGGGGCTTATGTGTACCAATTGGAAGGATGATCTCAGAAAGAAACATGACATAAAAAGAACTGGAAAGCTTCTCTTTTAAAAGGTTTTTTTTGAAGATTTAGTATTTTATGTGTATGTGTGTATAAGCCTGAGCATGTGCATATGTACCATGCCCATGCAGATGTCATGTCCCACGCCCGTGCAGATGCCATGTGCCACGCGCGTGCAGATGTCATGTCCCATGCCCATGCAGATGTCATGCAACATTCCCATGCAGATGTCATGCAACATTCCCATGCAGATGTCATGTGCCATGGGCATGCAGATGTCCACAGGTCCCCCGCAACTGGAGTATAAGCAGTTGTGAGTGGCTATGTGAGTGCTGGGACCTGAACTTGAACTCAAGTCCTTTGGAAGAACAGCAAATGCTCTTAATCTGAGCCATCTCTCTAGGCTTG